TAATATTTAAGTAATTTAATTCGATAAGTCGGTTTACTCGATAAGTCGGTCATATGAGCTCACCCCCACATGACCGATTTATCAAGTTTACATATGTACCACATTTTTATGAAATGCTATCAATACTTCCAATAAGCTTGGTCTTTGTGTGATTTCGCAATATTACAGACACATTTAAATTTGTTAATTAATCCCTAATAAAAAAATTATATATATTTGTTTTTTAGTGTTTCGCATATTTTCATATTTCTAATTATCCTTTGTTTCTGCTACTCTCAAAATGTCAGCAAGGCGTCGCAGGAAACATAGTGATACTGATGTACCTGTAAATCTACAACACCTTTATCTATTAAAGAAACACTTGGTTCTCGTATGTATGCTGATTGTAATTCTATTTTATTGTTGATTATTTTAAGTTAAAAATACTAGCGCCAAATGACAACAATAAATGTAATATTTTATTATTTTATTACCTGCAAATTTTTTTATCATCATCAAAAATGTCGTTGATTCTATTCATGATCAGATTGGTAAAAATCACCACAAAAACTAATGAAACAGTCTCTGGCGAGGTGGTGCTTTGGCTAAATGAGAGATTTCGGTTATTTAGAATTCAAGATGTTTAATGAATATTTATTTCATGATATAATTATTAATTTAATTGCTCAAATTTCAGACCATATGTTCGTTTTCATTTTCAGCACGTCAAGCATGTACAGTCCTTGCTGAGGCCACCTTAACAAGATCATCACGGCACTTTTTATCTATTGGTAGGTATATTGCACCGGGCATCTCGTTTTCCATATCCTCTAACTCTTTGCTTGTATATGCTGGTCCATACTTTTTAATTTCTTATATATCAATACCCAGCTATCTTCATGCCCATTGAATGTACCCCTATCTAGATTGTCAAAGAAGGCGATCATATTAAATCCTGTTTCGCCATCAAATTCCAAAGCATTTTCACCTGCTATGTAAAAAAAAGCTGTTCCTCTGTCATGTACATTCATTGAAGCAGGCCATTTGAAGTCAGGACCTACACGATCTACAAGGACATTATGTTAAATTATTGCAAATGTATTACTTCTATATACACTAAACTGAAAATTTCAGCTTTACCTAGAAATTTCAGAGCTTGCCCTGGACTTGTTTCATATTTGAGGAGAGAACTAACGGTCTCAGGTGGATTGGAAATTGGCATAGGTTAATCGAGCTGGTTGGAAGTGTTTATTGAGAATGAATTTTGATCATTTAATAACGATGGAATGTTAATGACAAAGCCAAACCTTTTTTTTTTCCTTTCTTTAAAAACTTGGGTATCTTGAATATACTCTCTCTTCCTGTAATAAGGATAATAAATAAGAAAAACAGTATAGATTTGGAAGGTTCAATATATTTTTGGTGTTTACCTTTCTTTTTTCGTTAGAAGCAGACATGATCAAATAAATTTCATGAAACTAATCAAAGTTAATATGTCTGTAATGAAATTACATCACAATTACACTGATATTTTATTGATGTTATCTGTGTACCTTAACAGTCACAGAACATGTCACGCAGATCAATAGTAATAGGGAGTTAGTTGTACAGTCAACCTTCCATAAGTGCACCCCCCTCGAGACCGTGCACTTATAGAACAAAAGTATTTTATTGGTTGCACGTGTTATTTAAATGTCAATGTTCCTTCAAAAACTCCTAACCCAGTTACGATTTGCTTGGCCTTTTCAACTAAAATAGCATCACTTAAGATTAAGCGTCAAGTTCGTTTCATTGATTCCCTCAACCACGTCAATACAGAGGAAGGACCAACTCCATTCATGATTTTTTCACCAAGGGGCATTATGTGTAAACCACAATCAAAGGAATAACTAATCAAAACTTTGTGTTATGCTTTGACCGTCTTTAAGGCATCTATTATCTTTCATTTCATCCATTGTTTGCTATCTTGAAAATGTAGGTATTTTATAAACGAATATCCATTCTCAGGCTCTCCACAAAATGAAAATCGTGCATCGCGATCTCCTTTGGAATAATCGGAATAACGTGTTAAAGTCCATAGATCGAGACAGTTGTTATCGATTTCAATTATGCGTACAGTGCTCTTTCAAATATTCCTAACACACAATTAGCTAAAGAAAGTCATGAACCCGAGATTTTCAAATCCCATCACAACGAGAATGTTGATATTTGGTCTGTCAGATATTTAATTCTGTTGAGCTTCAAGGATCGGATTAATTGAAAGTCTATGCAAGGATGAATTCAATAGATCAACAACCGAAGATGCTTTGCGGTGGTTTTGGAGGAAACGTAGAGATGTTCTCGAAGATTTTTTTGGAAGAGAGAAGAAATGGAGGAATCATAACTAATTATTGATAAAAATGTGAAACAGCTACGTCTGTTTGAAGGATTAATTTTTTAAATGCTCGAGTCATCCGCAAAATATTAATATAATAATAATGATTCAAATTCTGCCCGAACGGGTTGTTAATTTAGATTATATGGCAGGGTTGCGTAAACCCTTTTTTAACAAAAAAATCTTCGGCGTTAGTGTTAATTTAGGCACGTAATTTTTTTCCCAATCTACTAGAATTCACAAATAACATTACGCGTTCATGGAAGCCTAGTTCTGGATTAATCTAATAAAGAATTTCTGACCGAGTCCAATCTCTACACCCACAATCGTGGTTTAAACAAATGGCGCTACTAAATCAAGGCACAATTTATTTATGGTATAAATATTATAATGGTAAATATTACATATTTACGAGAGAAGGCCATACATAAATTAGTTCAATAATGGATTATTATTGTTTATCTGCAGTGTTTGATTTGAAAATTTTGACTAATGTATAATTTACAATATAATGGATAAAAATATAATTTGCTTTTAATACAAAAACTGTTATCCATAGTCCTTGACTCTTTTTCGTTTAACAATGTCTATTTTATCATCTTTTCTCATCAAGTCTGTCGAAGGGTCAATTTATCAAGTATCTCGAGTGCCTCCTTCGCTGTTTAATTGTGGAAAAATCGTGCCAATGAAATACTTTAGTTTTCCATGATCTTTGTACCCAACCAAGAACAGAAAATTTCCTTTATTGATGGTTTACGAAGAATCTCAAATATCATCACCCCATTATGATATATCAATCCTTCAAAATAACGAAACCAAGACAAATCTATTAATTAATAATATATAAAATTCAATTACAACGCGAATATTATATGTAGTAAACCTTTCTTTACTTTAGGTAATGAATTAACATAATAAGAGCAATTTTATTATTATCATTATTTTTATATTAATTAATATAAATACATCTATCTATATATACACATACACGCACCAAAAAAATTATTTATTGTTTTTTGGCATTTTCTTCTTTTCGCCAATATCCTCTTTTGAATAATAATGAGGTGCCGCTAAATATTTTTATCAAGACAAAAAAAGTATTTTTGTTAGCCATATATTAAAAATAATGATTATTGATATTACTATTACGACCACCGTCACCATCACCACCACTAACCTTCAACAAGCCACTCAGGTTTTATTTCCATAACTTGGCGCATATATTCTTTACTCGTAAGTACTAACTCAAAATATAATACAAATTTTGGTTTTTCTTCAAATAATGAACTGCTGGGATGTATATGAACAACGCGACTTGGATCTCCAAATTTTAATTTGTGATATGAATCACTAAACATTGTCAACCTTGCAGCATTCATGAAAAATCCAGAAACTATTGACTATTATTAATAACACAATTAAAAAAGAAAAAAAAGTTCAATATAATGTTTTTTTTTCATACAAACTCACGCTAATACGCATATACTTCTATTAATAACTATTCAACTAACTAACCTTTTGTATTGGAATTATGTCACCAGGATCAGGATTTGATTTTAATTCAACTTCAGTACGATCACATAATTTCACTAGTTGATCACGAACATCTCTTGCTCGATTCATGGATCGATATACTATAAAATTTTCATAACACCAACCCATAGAATAATTTGTTTCTGCCCACTTTATACAAATTAATTTGTTTGCAAAATAGCAATGTTATAATCCATTCAAAGGAAATATTCAACATATTATATTTTGTTATTATGACCACTTACTTGTTCCCAAATATTTAGTAACATGAGATGATCTCCACCAGGTTTAATGAAATTTTGATGAGCCTTATCAGCGTAAAATTTTTTATCCTTTGGTCTATAAAAAACCGAACTTTGTACCGTTAACATACAAACTATAGATATAACCTATAAAATATTTATTAAAATAATCAGAATAAATAAAATTAATTATAATAATAAATATAAATATAAATATCGTTTACCTCTTCTGAGCAATGAAATTTCTCAGATGTTATAATTGTTTTAGATAATAAAGGATCTATAGGAAACTCGGCCATACGTCTACCCAATTTTGTTAATTCACCATCATTGTTTAGTGCACCAAGTGCATACAAATCATTAAGTGCTGAAATCATTCCTTGTTCATGAGGTGGATCCATAAATTCAAACTTCATCACATCTACACCAATACTCTATAAATACAAATAAATATATATATAACAAAAAAAGTCATATTAATATTATACATTTGTTATTAATAAAAGTAAATATTTAGTATTATTAATATGCTCACTTTTAACAATAGGATAACATTAGACAAATTTGTTCTTTGAATTTCTGGAACTGTATCTTCTTCTAATTCATTGGCATAAGCATATTTCGTATATAATCTAAAGCAATGTCCAGGACCAACACGTCCTGCTCTGCCAGATCTTTGGTTTGCCGAAGCCCTTGAGCACTAAAATATTTTTTGAAGAGAAAAATTTTATAATTATTATTTCTTTATAATGCATGCGCCTTCTTTTATTAGCTTTCAATTATTAAGAAAAAAAATTACCGGAACAACCAATAATGACTCCATATGTGTTTTTGAACTATAATGATTTTGTTTAACAAAACCTGGATCTATGACAAACGTAACACCATTTATAGTAATAGAAGTTTCAGCAATATTGGTAGCCAAAATAACCTAAATATAATAAAATTTTTATTCATATTAATAAACAATTTTAAATATAAAAAATAAATAAAATTTTTTACAAACTTTTCGAGCACCAGGTGGTGTTGGCTCAAATATTTTAGCTTGCATATCAGGTGGAAGATTGGAATAAATTGGACATATTATTAATTCTTTTACTTTACTGCCAAGAACTCTACATGTTTGTTGTAAGCTTTCTTGAACAGTCTCAATTTCTTCTTGACCCTAAGTAAATAGAAATATTAGTAAACAACAATAAAATAATCATTATAATCATTATTTATAATTATAAATGTAATGATATAAACTTACTGTAAGAAAGACTAATATATCTCCTGTATTTTGTGAAATATGTATTTGCATAACGGTAGCTATTGCTGCAGAAATGTAATTTGCTTCTGGAGCTTTTGTATGACAAATTTGAACTGGGTAAGGTTTACCTGGAACTATTATTATTATTAAATTGGTTTAAAAAAAATTAACTTGAAAAAAAATTATTAAACCTAAGAATACATCATAAATATTATTAAAGCTTACTCCTAAAAATTGGTGCATCATCAAAATAGGCAGCAAATTTTTGAGCATTTAATGTTGCGCTAGATATTATAAGTCTAAGATCAGTTCTGACCCGAGAAATGTCCTTTTTATAGGTAAATTTAAAATCAGTAATCTTTATTTCAAAATAAAAATAAAAGTTTTTTTCCTAAAATTTTTTTTACCTTGACCAAACCAAACAAAATATCAGTATGCAGAGTTCTCTCATGTGCTTCATCAATTATAAGACAGGAATATCCATCTAATAAAGGTTCACTCAAAAACTCGCGTAAAAGCATACCATCTGTCATATATTTAATTAATGTTTTGTCTGATGTACAATCCTCAAATCTAATAGAATAACCAACCTAATTAAAAAATAATCAATATTTAATTATTGATTGCTATTATTATCATATATATATATATATATATATATATAAAGACTATAACTTACCTCAAATCCAAGTTTAACGTTCATTTCTTCGGCCACACGAGCGGCAACACTCATAGCTGCTACTCTTCTTGGTTGTGTACATCCAATTTTTTTATCATCTTTCGTATAACCTGCTTCATAAAGATACTGTGGAAGTTGAGTGGTTTTCCCTGAACCAGTTTCTCCGATGACCACCAAAACTTGGTGATCTTCAATAGCTTTTAATAAATCATCACGATAAGTATATATTGGTAATGATTTACGAACTTCCTCGATGTTTTTTACTATTATATTATATATAAAATTGTAAAAATAAATATCATCGTGATCATAACATTAAGAATTAAAAATAAAAATAAAAGTTTATAAAGCATTATTATTTGATTTATTACATTTTTTCTCTGCTTCTTCAATTCTTGCAAGAAGTGCTTCATCTTTATCATTTGCTTTCCAATCCCAATCTAGAAAATCAATCAATGGCTCTTCAAAAACGAACTCATAATCTTCTCCCTTTAGTCTGTCCTGTGCTCCAACATTTAATTGTGATTTCACAATTTGATTCTTTTCCCATACTTCTTGTTCATTAACAAATCCTTTTTGATCTCTATCTTCTTCATAACGTTGATATAATACTGTATCTTTCTTTTTTTTGTCAATCTTTCCTTTTTCTGTTATATAATCTATTTATTTTATTTTATTAAATAAATTATTAAAACAGGAAAAGCATGTTTAAAAAAAAATCCAAAAAATAAAACTTTACCTTCTGGCATATGATATTCATCAGTTTTTACTGATAAATTAAGTCTTTCTCTAGTAAGCCTTAAAGTTTCTCTCTTAAACTCAAGTTCCTTTTTCTCTTTTTTAGTGAGTTTTTCATCTTTAAATAAAAGATCTTCATCAATCACATCTAATTCTAACAAATGCATTTGTTTTGTTGCTCTATCTTTTAAGTATGTTTGTCTTGATCTTTCCCGAATTTCGGGTAAATGTTTTTTGCGTTCTTCAGAATTATCCATATTTGATGCTGATTAGATCTATAAGAAATTTGTAAAAAGATTAGAGATTTACCAGTGGTGGAAGAGAATTTTAAAATGGATCTACATTGATGTAGATCACTATTTAAAATCTATTGATATTAAAGAATTTCAAAATGTCAATAAGAACTATTAATTTATGGTCAAAATTTTTTTCGCAATATACAGCACCAACCACATTGTACACTCATTCTACAATTTTGCATTTAATTAGGCATAACAACATTCAAAAATCATTAATTTATAATGAACCACGGATTTTACAAATTACACGAGGTTTTCGCCGTGGAAAATCAAAACTTAGTTCAGACTCGTCTCAAAATTCTAATAATGACGGATCAAAAGGTGATGATGGAAAAGGAGAAGGTGATAATAAGAATGGAAACCAAAACGGCTCTAGTAACGATAATGGTGGCGGTGGTGGTGGTAATAGTAGTAGTGATAATCCAAGTGATGGTAGTAAAGGTGATGGATCTAATAAAGGTAGTGGTGGTGGTGATGGACCTGCTGATATTCCGGCACCCAAATCACCATTTGAAGGAATACATAGGACTTTACATGTTTTGGAAACAACTATGCAAAAACCAACAATACCTGAAATCTATCCACAAGTATTGGCATTACCAATTGCCAGAAGGCCATTATTTCCAGGATTCTATAAAGCTGTTGAAATTAAAGATGCAAATGTTACAGCTGCTGTGAAAGAATTAATGAAACGTGGTCAACCTTATGTTGGAGCATTCCTTTTAAAAGATGAAGAGCTTGATGTTGATACAATTACTAATATTGCACAAGTTTATAAAGTGGGAGTATTTGCACAGATCACAAGTGTTTTCCCTGCAAATGGAGCCCAAGATGAAAATTCTTTGACTGCTGTTTTATATCCTCATCGAAGAATTCGTATTACTGAACTTATACCACCAACAACACAAAGCAGCGCACCAGAAGCTGAAATTGTTGCTGAACCTGGTCCTTCAGTTAATGAAGAACCGATAAAAAAAGGTGAGTTAAAAATTTTAAATTTTTATAAAAGATTAATAAAGTTCTTAAAACCATACATATCAATTCAATTAATTCATCATTTTTTTTTAAAAAAAAAAGAATCTGAACCTCAATATGCAACCTCATTCCTTGAAAATTATAATGTGTCACTTGTGAATGTAGAAAATTTACATGATGAACATTATAATAGGAAAAATCAAATCGTTCGTGCCATTACATCAGAAATTGTTGCAGTTTTCAAAGATATTGCAACATTAAATCCACTATTTCGTGATCAAATTGCCAATTTTTCCATGTCACAATCTGCTGGAAATGTTTTTGAAGAACCAGCAAAATTGGCTGATTTCGCAGCTGCAGTATCTACAGGTGAACCAAATGAGTTACAAGAAGTTCTTGAGAGTCTAGTTATTGAAGAAAGATTGCAAAGATCTTTGTTAGTTCTTAAGAAAGAGTTAGTAAATGCTCAATTGCAAAGTAAAATCAGTAAGGAGGTAGAATCTAAAATTGCAAAACGACAAAGAGAATATTATTTGATGGAACAATTAAAGGGTATCAAAAAAGAATTGGGGATTGAATCAGATGGAAAGGATAAATTGGTTGAAAAATTCAAAGAAAAAGCAGAAAAACTTGCCATGCCAGAAACTGTTAAAAAAGTTTTTGACGAGGTAAAACAATTTATTTAATTAAAATCTCATTTAGATACATGCATTAGTATATAAAATTATCAATCCTGTACATTCTCAGTTTCTTTTTAATTTTATTAGGAAATTAATAAACTTGCACATCTGGAGCCTGCAGCTTCTGAATTTAATGTCACAAGAAATTATTTAGACTGGCTTACACAAGTACCATGGGGACAAAGATCTCCTGAAAATTATAATATTAAACACGCAGTGAAAGTTTTAGATGAAGATCATTATGGGCTTCAAGATGTAAAGGATCGAATATTAGAATTCATAGCTGTTGGAAAATTGAGGGGCACTGTTGAAGGCAAGATTTTATGTTTCGTTGGGCCTCCTGGTAAGTTATATAGACACATGGCATAAATCTTTATATCGTTTGATTATAAATTGATTATCTTTTTTTTATTTATAGGTGTTGGCAAAACATCTATTGGAAAATCAATTGCTAGAGCATTATCTAGACAATTTTATCGATTTAGTGTTGGTGGACTTACAGATGTTGCTGAAATTAAGGGACATCGTCGTACATATGTAGGAGCTATGCCCGGTAAAGTTGTCCAGGCATTGAAAAAAGTTCAAACCGAAAATCCATTGATACTGATTGATGAAGGTATGAATGAATAAAAAATATCCATGCTATATAGGTTTCAATTAATTAATCTAATAGCTTTTAATTTAAAATATATATATATATATAGTTGATAAGATTGGACGTGGCCATCAAGGTGATCCATCATCAGCTCTTCTTGAACTCCTTGATCCTGAACAAAATTCATCTTTCTTGGATCATTACATGGATGTTCCGATAGATTTATCAAAAATACTATTTGTTTGTACTGCCAATGTTGTGGATACTATACCGCTTCCGTTACTTGATCGTATGGAGGTGATTCAATTGTCTGGATATGTTGCTGATGAAAAGGTAGCAATAGCTTCTAAATATTTAGCACCTACAGCTAAAGAAATGGCAGGATTACAGAATGTAGAAGTTACAATTCAACAAGATGCAATTGAAACTTTGATTCGTTCATATTGTCGAGAAAGTGGTGTCCGTAATCTTAAGAAACATATTGATAAAATATATCGTAAAGCTGCTCTCAAAATAGTAAATGAAATAAAAGAAGAAATAATACCAGAAGATCAAGAAGTTATAAATAACAATAAAGAAACAGAATCGCCACCATCACAATCAACAACAATAGAGCAAGCACCAAAAAATGAGTTCTCCACAACTACAGAACCACAGAAACCATTAGAAGTTCCTGAGGGCATTCATGTTAATATTACCTCAGAAAATTTGAAAGATTATGTTGGTCCACCTGTATGGCATTCCGACCGTTTATACGATCATACACCACCTGGTGTTGTTATGGGTTTAGCATGGACAAGTATGGGTATGTAAGATTATTGACATTGATTGGGTGATTGCTTATTAAAAAAAACAAACCTTAATTTCTCGGTATTTATTTATTTATTTATTAAGGTGGTTCCGCATTATACGTTGAGTCTACTTTAGAATCTATTATTAATAAAAAATCAACACCTTCACTTTCAAAAACTGGACAAATGGGTGATGTGATGAAGGAATCTACTACTATTGCTTATACATATTCAAAAAGTTTGATGGTTCGACAATTTCCAGAAAATAAATTTTTCGAAAAGGCAGCTATACATCTTCACATACCAGAAGGAGCTACTCAAAAAGATGGTATATGTTTATATGACTGTTGCTTTATTTTTTTTTATTTTATTTTTTTTGTATTGAAAAATTAATAATAATGGATAATATTGTGATTAATTGTTTAGGACCATCTGCTGGAATTACTATGACCACATCACTTTTATCATTAGCATTATCAAAACCTCTTGACCCTACAATAGCAATGACAGGTGAATTAACGTTGACAGGAAAAGTTTTAAAAATTGGAGGCCTTAGAGAGAAAGCAGTAGCAGCCAAAAGGTCAGGAGTGAAAACTATAATTTTTCCTGATGCAAATATAAGTGATTGGGAGGAATTACCTGATAATGTAAAAGAAGGTTTAACAGGTGTGCCAGTAGCATGGTATAGCGATGTTTTCAAAGTGGTTTTTGGTGATATAAGTAAAGAATATGCAGAAAAGGTTTGGACAGATTTTTCAAAGAAATTTCCTGAAATAGAAAAAGATAAAAAAGATAAAAAAATGAGTGATGATCAATAAAATTTTGTATATGATATTGGACATTGTAATTATTATTCAAAATAATTTTTCATTAATAATTCCAAGAAAAATTTTATAAAATCACTATTTATTTATTATGGGAAATAAAATATACATGACAAGAAGGGCAATGCCCCATTATTACTATAATTAATATCAAATTCGTTACACGAGTATTTCCCGTAATATCTTTCAATTCTAGATCTTAAAAAAAAAAAAGTAAGCTGTTATTTTAATTTAAAAAAAATTTTTTTTTTTCAGTAAAGATGATGATGATTCATGACAATGGTAATTAAATTTAAATTAATTTTTGAAATTGTAGTTACGTGGACACTGGACTTGTTATTAAAAATATCACCAGGGAAAAGAATATGCTGTTTTGTTGATGATGATTTCTAATCATATTCCATTATTGTTATTATAAACGTTTATGTCAATTTAAATTTTGGGTGGAATGTTTGGATATAAAATTCTGATTAGCTAATTGAAATTCACGCGCGTGAATTTCAAAAAATTGACACAGATTTCAAATTCACGCACAACCACAATTATAGTTGGTTCCGTAATTCCCGTTATTATTATTATTACTATTACTATTACATGGAATTACGGTGATAGTAATAATAGGGTATTAGTATATTACGGTCACAGTATCTTGTTATATTATGCATGTGTGGCTTATCGCACGGCAATGGTAACGCGCTAATTAAACTTTCTAATTGATCTGCAAAGAACTGTGCCTCACAAACAAAAATTCAAAAGAGAGGAAGAGGAAAAAAATCAAGTTCGGATTAATAAGAATTTATCTACTTTGTTAAAGTTTGAAGTTCAATCACAGTGTGAGGTCTTTTTTTTTAAAAAAAAAAAATTATATATTGTTAGCACAATAAATATATACTAAATTTCGAGTCGGCTTGAGCTGTCTTGACCGGGATCTTGAGAACATGAAAATAACGTGGAAACAATTCAAGCTTTCGTTATACACTGTGTGTAATTTGATTGGCTGAAGATATTCACAATTCATCTCGATTAAATTTTTCTTTAAAAAATAATGTTTAAAAAATATTTTTCAACTATTAATTCGAAATATCTAAATATCCAATTTCAATTTCAAAATAATAACAATAACTTCAAGATATCTATATAATAGTAATAAATTACTAGATGACTTTAACAACAATAATTCTAATGAAACATTACCACCACCATCATCGTCACCAGATAATGAAAAATTTACAATTTCTACTGAAAGTGAAAAAAATCAACAACAAACGAAATCAGATTTAGAATTTTTATTGTTTCCTTCCGCCTCTTCTCTTCATCAGCTTTGCCCGTATCGTTTTCAAGTATACTTAAAGAGCATAGTAGATTAAGCACTAATACGATAACACCATCATCCCCTTCTTCCATGTTGAGACAATGGGATAGAGCACCAGGAAAATTGACAAATTCCAACATCAGCAGGATTCTTAATCCAAGCATGATGGCAACAAGTCGTTTCATAAGGATCGACGGATTGGCAAGCACTGTAATTACTAATGATATTTTGTTTTTGTCAAGTGAAGTAAACGAATATCAAAAAAGTATTGATGATGGTAAGATATTTTTTGCATATTATTTAGATTACAATTATAGATTAATTGCATATTATTATGAGCCACTTAATACATCAATCAAAGTTTTAATGCTTCGTGATCGCATTTTCAATTTCAATGGATCAGTAATTGTTCGATTCAAAAGTATTACGTTTGCAGAAAACTTTATATATATATGCACCAACTGGATTTTTTTAAATGGTGGAGGTCAATTGAAAATGAATTTATTATACGTGAATTAAAATCAAAGCTTACCACCTTATGATAATTATTATTATGATTATTATAATTACAGTTGAAAGAACAAGACTTTGGTTATGAGGAAATGCTAAATCAATTGAAAATGTATAAAAGAAGTACTATTATGAAATTTGGTCCGAATCAAGGAAAAAGAGTCATAATTACAGGAATTCCAAAGGACATTAATTGGATAATTAGATCAAAATTTTTATCTGATTTTCCCTTCACTTAGAAATGAGGAATATATTTTTCCTTTGCCAAATTTTGAATTAATTATTGTTACACAAAATTTACTCAACTACCTCGAGATTTCTTGTTAAATTAAATAATACAAATGATGCAAGAATATTTAATAGTACCTATTTTTTTCCCAGGAACATTATGGTGAAAAATATAAAATAAAAGATTTCCGTGACATATTAATAGAATATATTTGGTATGTTATAAATATTTCCAAGTTATATAACAAAAATAATAAAAATAAATATAATAAATATAATAAATATATAAATAAAAATATATTACAAAATAACCCTTTCCCCACCCCCCAATCTATTATTTAACTCGTAGTAGTAGTAGCTAAAGGAGTACCAATTGATAAATTATTGGTGGGTAATCTACTTATTGTAGTTGATTGGCCTGGTTGTGTCCTAAAAATTCAACGTAAAAATGATTTAATAAACGATTTTCAATAAATAAATATGCAATTAAATTATCAAATAATTAATTACATTATATCTTTGGCAAATGGCTTCCAAGTTGATGAAGTTGGAACATTATTATTTGTAGCAACAGAAGTAGGAGTCGCAGCCGAGGTGGTATCATCAACAATATTATATGAAGTTGTTTCTTTTTTTATTGCTTTTGAAGTGGTTTTTGTTGATTTTTTTGTAGCTGCAGTTTTGGAAGTTGTAATTGGTTCCTTTTTATTGCTTGCCATTGCTGTTGTTGTCGTTGTTTTTGTTTTTGTTTTCGATTTGGTTGTTGTTGTTGTTGTTGTTGTTGTTGTTGTTTCTTTGGTTGTTGTTGATATTGTTGTTGTTGCAATTGGAGCTTCTTTTGTTACTTCTGGTGTTGTCGGTTCTGGAGTTTTTTCTGTTGGTGTTTCATTTGCTGCTGATATCGTTTCATCTGCTGTCGTTGTTGTTAAATCACTTGATTCAACAACTACAAATGTTGGTACAGGTGTGGTATACTGACTGAATGGAATAGATTATTATTTATTATTATTATTATTATTATTATTATTAGTATTAGTATTAGTATTATTATTATTATTATTATTATTATTAGTACTAATATTATCCGTAAACAGAATTTTCTCTCTATTTTAACAATGCAAAATTAATATAATTACTTTACTACTTACGAAAATGGTCCGTCTCTTCTTTCCATTCCAATATTATTGTGTTGTGCTGTAACATTTAACATTATTGCATTCAACAGCAATAAAAATATTAATAAAAACGGAAAAATATCTATTTTTCTCTTTACTAGTGGTATTAGTATTGATAATATCATCTTTGATTAGAATTTTTTTATTCAAAGAATTTTTTAAATAAATAAATAATTGATTGACTAATTGGTCATGAAAAGTATAAATAGTAAAAATCAGATTGTTTTTTTTTTGGATTTTGTTTGCAACGCAAAAAGTTTGATTTTGGAAAATTATTATTTCTCAGCCAGCATACCTTATCCCAAGCATAAAGAATTATCACCACTTAGGTGTGCTACTTGCACATGAAAAGTTCCTGATATAATCAAGGTTCGTTGTCATTATTAAGTTTTTTTCCTTTGACATAAAAAAACTATCAATACCATTGCTTTTCCAAAATTCAGATATAAAAAGATGATATCGAAATGGTGAACAAAGATGTCATTTTTTATATTTTACAAATTTCCTTGATAATGAATGACAGGAGAAAGGACGGGCACACACACACACACACACATATCATTTTTTATTAACTCCAGTTAATAATTCAAATTAGCAAAGAGTAGATAATTATACCAATTATCATCAAATGCGAACAGTAAATTTTTTATTAGAAAAAAAACAGCAGTTTGTAAAATATTGTTTCTAATGTAATAAAAATCATCGGAAGATCTTAGATTATTATTATTATAATAAAAAATTTTGAAGCATATTGTTATGTACGCATTTAATTGTTTTTATTTGACAAAATTCTAGAAAGTCGATGCATGAAAGTTTATATGCATAATCTCTAGAACTTTCTCTACAAACTGGTATAATTTTTTGTCAGTGCTATTATTAAAAAATTCCATATTAATTTCTGTTGTGTAATTGTTGATATGGAATTTTTTTGTCATCGCCGTTTTTTTCTTAACTTTTAAATACTCCTATTTCCTTTGGACGGGATAGGATATATTAAAATGGGACAAATTCCGACGGAAAATTCAGTTAAATTTCCCTGGACGAGGTAAAATAGGTTTCGCACGGGTTGAAAAAATTATTTAATGTGATTAATTATCTCATTTAATTTCATTTAAATTTATTTAATCTCATCAATAATGTCATAAATAATGGTGTGGAACAACAGTGTGTTTTCATTTCATTCACATGAAACACAGGACAATCAAGATAAGAGAAAAACTGCGTTAGTGTCGTCCCAAAATTTCACAATTACATAACGAACGTAATTATTTCATTTCATTCATTTCATAAAAGTGCATGCTCACTGCATAATAATTTCATCACATTGTACATATAACACAAGACAAACTCATTCAATAACAATAATATTCTTCATGATGGATATTATCGGTGACGTTTTTTTTTACATAGATATTAATATGTTGCTTGTCGTCTTCTTTAAAAATAAGATCCACAGATTCACCACTTATTAAAAGTTATGAAATTTCAAAGCTTTAGAAATTGTACAGTTCTCGCGCTCTATTTACGAAAAAGTGTACATTGTTAATAATAAAATACAGACTTGTACTAAAAAGGATAGTACTCAATAGTTTAAAAATCACGTGCAGAATTGACGTGCGGCAAGAGTATTCTCTATCAACAAGATTTTGACTGGTGCCAGTTCTAATACTTGTTTTTTAATCACCAGAATTGTTTCCTTCTTTCCTTGTAAGAAGATGTAACAAGGATTACCTCAATTTGATCACAAGAGCGAGTTTTTCGATCTTGTTTTTTTTTTTTTTTTTACTATATAATATTAAGATCAAGAGCTCATCTAACTTTCAACTCATATAATACATCAACAATTCTCGAAATTCTAGATTTTTGTATCTATTATCACCACTAATATTAAATTTTGAAACTTTCCCAAAGAGCAATTGTTTTCGGGACTTTTGCTTCAAAAGATCTGGTAGATGCTCCGTTTTATGAGTGATGGTGAAATTTCTGAAAGAAGTTGTTCTGCTGTAATAGAAAAGGCGTTATTAAATCGGTGAAATGATATCTTCAAAAATCTTACGCTAAAGGCATTAGCATGTCACAATAGGGCAACTAAACTCACCAGAAATGTCTTCATTAGTATCTGTTGTTGATTGATGAGTTCATCTAAAAAGTCATATTGTTGTTTATTTGTAGTAATGGATGGTGCTATTTGAATGAATAGTTGTTAATGAAAGTCTTTTTAGTCTTGTTAGTGTTTCTCTGACACCGAATTGAACATTTGGTAAAGGTGATTTCAATAAATCATTTTCAATTCCAAGTTTAATAATTATTAAACTTGTAAATGTGACAAATCATTTTCCTGAATGTAAATATTTGATTGGGTTAAATAGTGAATATGACTAGTATGGTTGTGATCGCCACCTTGTGATCACACTATATGTACAACACTACATTATAAAGAAAGGCTTAGCAAAGTATTGTTATTGTATTAGTATTAATTGATGGTGCAAATGAGCCTTTTGCTTGCTCAAAATGTCATTCGGCCACTTTCATTTATTTCTTTAGAGGGTAATGGTTATATCTCGCCTGATGATTACGGGGCATTTGTTAGCATTGGTATTGTAATCACAACCGATTCTTGTTCATTGAGGCTGTTGTTAACACTCGCCACACTTAAAAGAATCTTTAAAACAACACTGTTTATTGCATCCACAGGATTTTTAATCCGAATTACATGTCAGGGAAATTCGTTACATGGTGGAATGAGAGGCGCTTAGATTGTCAAATCACTGTAGAGAGCCTCTAATTAAACGATGACCAAAATCCTTTGCCATTGATTGATGATTATGAGCGAAACAGTTATAATGGAAAGACCGTTAGTGACTAATTTTTAAAATATAAAAAAATTATTTATTGGTAAAATCACTGAAAACAATTCATTCCACGCATCGTGTATTATTTTTAGCAAAATTTCAGCATTTCACCTTGATAATATTCATCAAGTGTAATATCTCTCCATTTGAATGGGATGTGGAAAACAAATTCTATTTTCCCTTGCCTCGTATCTCAAGAATCAATCATTTAAGACGACACACTCTCGCTTTTTTTTTGTTGTTATTTTATTTATTTCATTAATTTATTAATCCTTTGTAAAAAAGGAATATCAAAACAAATACAATGAAAGGATCAAACAACAAAAAATATTTTATTTTCATTATAAATAGAAGGATACATAATAATTTTAATTTATATAAGAAAAAACCACTAGAGCAATTTCATGGGAGGAAAATAATGCCCAAAGTCATTGTGAGCATTACCTATTCTTTATTGTTGTTATTGTCATCTTTATTATTATCCTCCATATCTTTATTCTTTTCCTTATTAACCCATTTCTGAATCGTTTCTATTGTTTTTTTCCTAGGATTGATTTTTCGTCGCTAGAAGTTTTTTATTGTGAAAGCAGCAACTCCTTTTCCTTAAAGTAGATTGCGAATTTCGGTTACCATTTCATTAATACTAAATGAAAAATCAGAGTCCAACTCGATTTTTTAATCAGAAAAGTGTTTCAATATCTTCCAAATATTTTGGCCACTGATTGGTTTACTTTGTTTATGGTTTTTTTTTAGGCTCTCCTGCATCAATTACTTTATTGATATTATAGAGGTTGTTCCCAAAAAATTTCGCTTGTAAAAGTATGCATCTTTGTTAAATATTATTTTTTTTGAAAAAAAAAAAAAGGACAACAGTAATGTCGGGTAGAGGAGGAGATAGTTTTCAGATGATCCATCAAAAAATGTGTGTATATAGTACAACAGCAACTATAATTAAACAATCACCCAAATTTATTATTATACTTTTGGATTAATTACCCGATATGGAAATTGTTACTATCACTATTGAACAATTGAATCATGTCTATATTAGTAGTACAATTGTGTGATGTAAATTATGTCACAAAAAATTTTGGGATTAGTATTTGCAGATCGATTATTAATTATAAAATAATAAGGGAAAAAATAAAAATCTCTCTTTTTTATTTTAATATAAAGTTATGATGAGAAAAGCAAATGGTAATACAAAACAAAACACAAAAAAAAAAATTACTCCTGATGTAGAGGATAATTATAATAATCGCAATGATAATGGGTCAAGTTACAGAAATAAGAATTATAATGATGATAAAAAAGATGAAAAAACCATCGATCTGTCAACTATAAATGTTAAAAAGGCTGCTTTGGCTTGGCATAGCCTTGCTGACCCGAATGCAACAGTAAGAAGAGATGGTGTGGGTACTGGTCAATTACATCGTCGTGGAAGAAACTTTAATCCGCTAAATGAGGACACATTATTAAAATTAAAAATGGGAAATACTCCTAAAAAAAATAAGAATACACCACCACCACCACCACCACCACCACCATCACTAAAATTAAAACCATCAAAACGCCCACCACCACTTCCTTCTGTTAAGAAGCCGAGAAACAGAGAAGCATTCCCAAAATTAGTCGACAAACCATTTTGGAATAGTCCGGTGTATCAAGATAAAACTTCAAATATTTCGACTCCTAAACCATATCGTAAACCTACTAAAACAACAGTTCATTTGGTAGATAAACCATTTTGGAAAGACCAGGAGAATCGAGAGGAAACTTCCATTTATCATGAATGGGGGGAAGATAAACAACAACAACAACAACAAACTCGTTTCGATGAAGAAAATCCATCAGAACAGCAAATTCAAGGAAATTCAACACCGGAATGGGACCAAGAAAGAAAGAATAACAAACAGGTGAAAGGAGAAGAAGAGGAAGGAAATCTTTTCGATAAGAAAAAAACCGAAGAAAGTTCAGGAAGGAAACAAGAACGTGAAGAACAACATCCACAACGAATTCATTTGGATAAAAAAAATGAGGAAGAAATGGGAAAACTTATTTTAATTATTCATATTGAAATTGAAAATGATAATGTTCAACATATTAATGTTCATGAATACGACGATCCAATAAAGCTAGCAAAAAAATTTTGCGATTTATGGAAAGTAGAACCTAAGGTGGAGAGAGCTTTGGTGCAATTAATTCATGATGAAAAAGCAAAAAGTATTGGCTAACAAAAAAAAAATTTTTTTTATTAGAATCTTTCTTTTTTTCTAGAATATGCATGTTATTATGAATTAGGAAATTTTTTTAATTCAAAAGTATTCTTTGGAAAATAAAACGTTTCTAGAATATCTGTAAAGAATAAACCACATCCATTGATTTGCAAAAGGGAAATTAATTATGCGTATAAAAAAGTATAAATAGGAATGAATTTTCAATAAAAAATTTTACACAAATTAATTATTTTAAAATTATTTCGTTAAAAAAAAAACCCTGATTTTAAAATTTTTTTGCAAATATGAAAGGACCACCACCAAAATACGCTCATTCACAAGTTGAATTAAAAATTAGTTGTAAAAATTTAAAAGACTTGGATATTCTTTCAAAAAGCGATCCCCAAATTATATTATTAGTAAAAGATGCCAAAACGCAGAAATGGAGGCCAACACCTTTTAAAACTGAAGTTGTAATGAACAACTTAAACCCAACGTTTGTAACTGGAATTGTTGTTGATTATTTATTTGAAGAATTACAAGAATTTAGGTAATTGGAGTGTTTGTGATTTTTTTTTATTTCGGAAGAGAAAAAATAAACCTTTTTCTCTCAAAAATATTAGATTTATATGTGTGGATGTTGATAAACCAAATGATCCGGATTGGGAAAAACAAGACTTTATTGGCCAATTTGAATGTGATTTAGGATCAATTGGTAAGATATTCTGATATTATAGATATTATAATAATCAATAATTTAATGGGTTTTTTTGGTTTAAGTTGGCAGTGAAGGGGGAAAGATGATGGGAAATTTGACTTCGCCTAAACATCGTGGTGAAAAACGTGGTGTCATAATTATTTCGGCTGAAGAAGTTAGTAAATCTAAAAGAAACCTAAAGTCAGTAAAACTATTTCTCATTTATATTATCCCTTCAGTTGGTTGATCCAAGATTTAATATCCATTTTAGTAATGATCTTCGTGAGTTTTTGGTCATTAATGATCGGCAAAAGTGAAAGCCAACTTTTAAAGAATTTACAGGGACAATGACCGAAAATTTATTTTAAGATCAATAGATTGAATCTTAGATTATTTTTGTATGCTCTCAGAGAATGTTTTATATTTACTGAAAAAAATCACTTGAAAATTTCAAGGAAAATCAATGACTGTTTAAGGGATAATTGAAAATATATTATTTATAAAATACTTTATGAATTAACGTTGAAATTTTATTATTGATTAATAATAATTAGGTTACATTTTCAGGCACATAATGTAATTAACAAGGTGATTTATTAAAAAAATTGATCATAAAATTAAGATATTACATTTACACCTTATAATATATTAATATATTAATTGTTGATACTATTTAGGGGGGACTTTTTAAACCAAAACCAGCTATATTTTTGGTTGTCAGTAGAGCAAATGAGGATAATACATTCTCACCAGTTTATGAATCAGATATAGTTTCTTCTTCTAATCCATTCTGGCAAGAATTTTACAGTAAATTATATACATTTATTAATTTTCACATAACAAATGTTAATTTCTTAAATTTAACTCCATCCATTTATTTTATTGTTGTGATTAATTGAATCAGTAAGAGAATCTACTTTGTGTAACGGTGATCTTGATAGAGCATTACTATTACAAGTCAAACAGCACAGAAAGAGTGGAGGTATGATAGTAGTCATCATTATAATTTGTTGAATAATTTATTAGTTAATTATTAAAATTTTTAGTCGTGAATAATAAAGATAAAATGATAAAAACCAATATTTTTATCCAGAACATGCACTTCTTGGAGAATGTTCGGTTACACTTCGAGAGATTTTGGGAGGAGGCAAAACATTTCCATTAAAACTTCCATCCGGTTCACAGGGAAAAATTTCAAAAGATGCAAACATAACAATTATTGAAGCTTTGGTGGAAGAACCTCCGAGTTTTTTGGATTATATTGCAGGTGGCACAGAAATTAATCTTATGGTAGCAATTGATTTTACAGGATCAAATGGTGATCCTAGAAATCAAAAAAGTTTACATTATAGTGGTGGAAGAGGAGAAAATGATTATCAACGAGCAATCAGGAGTGTCGGGACAATGTAAAAATTTTTAGATTTGTAATATTTATTTTTAATATTAATATTAACACTGGTATTAATCTTTGAAATATATATATATATATATATATAGTTTAGAAGCATATGATTATGACAGATTATTTCCCGTAAGTATAATAGGACAACAACAAAGAATTTATGATGAATGGTAATCAAATAATCATGTAACAATTACCATTGTATGTAATTATTATTAGGTTTATGGATTTGGAGCAAAATTTAATGGTGTATTATCTCATGCTTATCCTCTTAATAATAATCATCAGAATGTAAATATTTCTTCTTCCTATTAATATCAACATATACACATATTCGTTTATTAATATATTTGTTTTATTTTATAGCCAGAGGTCGAAGGTGTAGAAGGTATACTGGAAGTATATTCACAAACAATAAATACTGTCGAGTTATATGGCCCGACTAATTTTTCTCCAGTATGTTTGTTTTTTTAAATTTCTATCATCTTGTCAATTTGAATTTTATCTCTCATATTTTATCAATCAATCATATTATCTAACTATCTACTTGTAGATTATACTCCAAACAGCCAATAAAATTGAATCAGAGCTAAAAGCAGGGAATGAAGATTACTACTATATATTATTAATAATCACAGGTAATAATAGTAATATTAATGGCAGTAAAATAGTTAATCTAGAAAAATTTAAAACTTATTAATTCATCCATCTATCCATTCATTCATTTACTAACTAATCAATTAATAATTCTTGTTAGATGGTGTGATAACAGATTTTGATTCAACAATTCGTTCTATAGTTAAAGCAAGTTCACTTCCACTTTCAATTGTCATTGTTGGCGTTGGTAATGCAGATTTCTCACATATGAATAGGCTTGATGCTGATGATGTTCCATTAACTGTAAGCATATATATTACATTTGATTGATTATTTGATTAAAACATCTTTAAATCATAATTATTTATTTAATAAAAATTTTTTTGGGAAAAAATATAGTCTAAAATTGATGGTTCAAACAAAACATCATCTAAAACAACAGGAAGGGACATAGTACAATTTGTAGCTATGAGGGATTTTCAAGCAGAAGCAGCTACATATTTATTACCAAAGGCAGTACTAGAAGAAATACCAGATCAATTCATGGACTACATGAATAAAAACAGGATTCCACCAAAATCAGCAAAACAAAGAAACATGGATGAACTACGAGTTAATCCAAGATTTAATATAACACCTGACGAACCACCACCAGCTTATGCACGTGATATAACCAGCTAATAAACAGATTAGAATATTATTATTTTATAGATTCGCTTTTTAATTATTATTATTATTATTATTATTATTATTATTATTATATTATTATTTATAAATAAATATTTCGCTATTATTAAAATTGAAAAAATTGGATGATTTGTTCAAAGTTTTTTATTCCTGGGATTTTATTTACTCTCCTCGATTACTTTTCGGGGACAAAGAACTTGAATATAAGAAAGACATCTATAGACATAGACTTTTTTGAAAAATAAAGAAAGCCAAATAAAGATCGGTCAAATTAATCTTTTATTTCTCTTGGGCAAAGGATATATTAAATGATTGTAACATCTTTGAACTCGGATATTTATTTTGATAAAAAAAAGTATTGCTGTTCGTGTTTATACTGCCCCAATATTACAAAATTTTTAGAAGATCTTTCTAATTTAAATAATCAGATTTCTCGTATTTCTTTTATTGAAAAGATTTTCTGTATCACGAAAAATTTTTATGCCGATCATCGACCTTTAGGAAATCACAAGGGAAGATCATTCCGAAATTTTACAATTTACATATTAATATTAATATAGACATATATAAAATAGCTAAAATAGCCCAACTTTGAAGCCTTATATATAACTCAAAACTTTTCTAATAAAAAGAAAAAAGTAAATCGATGGAAATGAAGCTTAGGTATTTAGCTTTAATTCTATCGGTTTACATTTTTCTTTTTCTTTTTTAATAAGGAGTTATAAGCTTTTAAGGCATGTGATAATCATTGACCGTTATAGATGTACTGCACTATGCTACTCTATATGTTCAGGGATTTTTTCTTCAATAATTTCTCCTGCCCAAATTCGCCACTTTCTTTAAAGGTATGCCTTATTATGGTTTTCTTTGACTTTTTCTTAATTTGTTTACTATATTACTATTTATAGTATTTATTTTTTTAAAGGAGTTCAATTATTCGCTATTTCATTGGTACCAGAAAATTTACTTTTATTATTATAATTTCATGGCTGAAAATCTTTCATTTTGGATAAAATCCTTAATAACAAATCCTCAACCACCAATGGGAATAAGCAATGGGATGAAAAAGATTCACAACAACCTTGCTCCTATTTATATTTTCTAATATGTAATCCAAGATAATGAGTAGTAGATTTACTAAGACAAGATTTTTTTATTCTTGTTTTTTTTTTATGGTTTAGAGACTTTTTTTAATTTAAAAAATTAGAATTAAATAGAAAAAATAAATAAATAAATAATTTAATGATAATCTATTTGATTCTTCTTTCTTTCTCCTTTAAAAAGATGATCTGCTTATTTTCAAGTATAATAAAAAGAAGAATAATGATAGAAATTTTGAAGAGAAAAATAAAAGTGGAAGTGGAAGTGGAAGTGGAAGTGGAAATGGAGTGGTCATATGTATGTATATATTATATTTCTAGGATAGTAGAGGTTGACGCTCATCATCTTCATCATCTAAAATATTTATTTTAAATAATAAAATAAAAAAATGATAATATAGTATTATGTAAGTTAAAATGCCTTTAATTTATTTTTATTTAATTAACCAACTATTTAATCTATTATCTATTACTAATTATTAAATTATTAATTATTATTAAATTATTAATTATTATTAAATTACTAATTATTTATATTATAAATTAGATTGATGTTTTTGTATGAAAATTTTCAAAAAAAAAAAAAAAAATTTAAAAATTTAAAGATTTTTTTTCGGACCTTTTGTTCTATAAGGAATTCGAAGACACTGAATCTTTAGATGAGCACAGAATCTATCAATCACAAGGAAAGCCCAATGAAAATAGGCGATCGTGGCAAAAGCGAAGTATGCCCATAGATATACATATTCAGCAGTTTCTGATAAAATCTCTTTACTGTTTGTTATTGAAATACACCAGAGTAAAATATAAGATATTATAATTAACAATAACGTACAATTTTTTATTGTAATAATAAGAAAGAAATACTTACGTTCCAAAGAAACGAGGAAAATTGGTAAGGACGGCACCTAAAAATAAAGGTATTAGAAGAACGGTGTACATGGGAAATGGCATTTTAGTTACGTGAGCCAAAATGATCTTGGTTGCAACACGTCCAAACACAATCCCGACTGTTAGAGTAAAAAGAATGAAATGTTGATTTTTCAAAATGTATGAATTTGGTGATGAAAGCCATAAATATCCACAGAATGAATACAATACTATTGCAAATAATTGAGGAAGTGTTGCCAAAAAAGATTTATCCTTAGCTTTACATGCTACATATACATTATACAAGCTACAATGATAATAATAATCATGTGGTTATTATGAATATCATTATCATTAGTGTTATTTTAATATATGCACATATATCATAATCCACATTATTATTTATAAATCTTTACTTACCATGCGGGAATATGGATAATAAATACTGTTATGGTTATTGCAATAATCATCAAATCCATTAGTTTAGTGCTAGCCGGTATGAAAGATGGCACAAGTTCACCAAATATATCATGTAATTCTTTCATCCACAATTGTGGTCCTATAAAAAACACAATCAACCCAAGAATTCAAAAATAAATATTTCTTCCAAAAATTAAAAATAAACTTACCAACAATTGCAGATACGCATATAGCAATACAAGCAATTATAATGCCTTCAGTTGGACCATTGAAATAACCTAAATATAAAGTACCAGTGTGATATTCTTCCCATGTAGACATGTAGAACGGAACTGTTAGTGAAAGTAGAAAATAAGCAGCATATCCGGAATGTCCTAAACCAAATGATGCTGCCAGAACTATAGATTCCAAAGAACAATTCAATGCATCACATCCATGATCAAACAATTCTCCGAGTGGTGACGAAGTTCCCGTTCTTCTAGCTTGTTTACCATCCACGTTATCAAAAGTTGAATAAAGCCACAATCCAACTGGGAAGCTGGAAATTAATGTTATGATATTTACAGAATTATTATTAATCGATCAATACTTCAATAAAAATTAAAAATTATTAACTAATTAAGTAACTGATCAATTGATTATTATTATTGTTACCTCCAATATAACCAAGTAGGTCCAGGACCAACAAGATCAGGAATCCAAAAAATAACACACAGCATATTTATAAAAACAAATCCTAATCCACATAGTGTAATTAAATTAGGTCTAGTTAAAGAAATGATTCAATCAATATATTTTAGCAAAATATATTGATCAAATATGATAAGCATTTATAAATAATAAGTATATATGATATGAACTCACGCCATCCATAGCGGGAATAGTTCTATTGCCCAATTCCAATATGGTTTTAAAATATAATTTGAAATTGGCGATTTGTCAATGGCTGAATATTTATAATACTTTAAGTTGCTAAGCGCAACTTCACCAATATAATCCGACTCTATTAAATATGTCATTATACTAATAATAATGCTATCAATTTATGCGTGGATTTAAGAGATCTTATAAAAGATTTCGTTTCGTGAAGAAATTACTTTAATAATTAAATGGATGGGAAGACGTGACAATAAGAAAATAAACAACTTAAATATAAAAGTTCCCTTCTATAACCAAAAAAAAAATAAATAAATAAGGAAAATTTTTAAAAAAAAAGTCGAATCCTTTTTTATACTTTTAAATTTAAATCATTCTGCTAACCAATAATTACTTGATGTCTCACGTGTTAACATTTAAAAAATCTATTACACAAGAAAAAAAAATCCCCACAAATTATTTCTTTTGTATATAACAAAAAACGATATCACATGCATAAATTGAATTTTGATTGTATCACATCTAATAAACAGTAATGTAATAAAACCCCAAAAAATTTAAAATTTTGATGGGGTTGATTTTCATCTATGCATGTGTAAAGGTAATTTAAAAGATGATCGATTAACACAATATTATATTTTTATTTATAATAACAAAAAATAATTAAAATTAAATTAAATAAAAGAGTTCTACACGTAAAAAAATCATCCGCTAAGTTTCCCAGCATAATATGCCAACAACATTGAAGCAAACATTAATCCAACTTGTTGTGAATTAAATCTTAATGATTCAGTGAATGATGCAAAATGATCATTTAAGTTATTAATATTATTAATGCTAATTCTTCGCACATCTTCTCCTCCTTCACCTGTAGCTGTTGTAGTCTTAGTCAAATGTCTAAATATTTTTTCTTCGATTATTTTTTCCTCTTTATTTTCATTATTATTATCATTATAATTCTACAAAATAAAATGTGGGATTTAGAGAAACATGCGATTAAATAAGTTACCAATGATTAATTAATTAAAGACAATAATATCTTTACCTTTAATTGGATTTCTGATGGTTCAACTAATGTTTCTTGATGATTTGCAGTAATTATATTTGATGCAATATTATTTGTGCTATCGTTATTATAATCATTATAATCACTATTATTGCTGACCAGTGTTGAAAGCGTTGTTGATGTTTTGAAACTTGGAGATGAAGATGAATGTATTGAAGTTGATGTAATATTTTGGTTTATAGATTCTGATATAATTACAGAATCCTGCTTCCGATCCTGATTTTGATAATTTGATTCAGGTGATAATGTCGAAGATGATGATGATGATGACGACGACGATGATGGTGATGGTGCAAGAGGAATTGATTTTCCACCATTATAAGTGACATTTACTTTTTTAGATATATTTTTTTTAATTTTAATTTTCAATACACTTGAATTCTTATTGACCTCATTTTTAGATGGAAATGTGATACGAGCCACATCAACTTTATTCGGTAATAATTCAACCTTTACGGTTACAGGTTGAATAGTCAACTCATATCCATTAGGATACATCTTTCTGGAAGTTTTTAACTCGGTCACTGCATTACTAAAAGTATTCACCACCTCAATTTCACAATCAAATGTTTTCGTGTTGAACAAACATGATTTCATCGAAGTTTGTGATGTTGATTCTCTAATATACGGTGGAAATCCACTTTTTTGTAACAACTCATCAATCTTAGCAAGTACCATTGGTGTCTGGATGGAAACTTGTTTGAGGATTGAGTAGGGAATTGTTTCAAGTTTAATGTCGATATCCACAATGTATTTTATATCCACATATTTTGTAAATCCATTATCGTCAAATTTCGGTATCAATTCAAATCCTGCAAATTTTAAATTTGCTCTGACATGTTTTCTTGTTTCTGGAATTAATTGGTCAACGACTGATGTTGATACAAATCTAATTATTCCAGTCTCAAAATCATGTTCCGTCGATGACACCAACGATAAATCTCTCCCACTAAATATTATAATAAGAATATTAATATTTATTATTATTATTATTATTATTATTAAAGTATGTATATATATATATATATATAAACATAAACAAACAAACATATATATTACCTTATTGGAAATGTGCCTTTCATAGTAGTTTTGACTAGAATATCAAAATGATTCAATCTCTCCACTACAACGCCGTCTTCAAATCTCTCGTCCCATACCTTTCTCATTTCTATATCAGATATAATTGACAAAATATCTTCCGCGGTAAATCCACCAGTGATTCTTAATCCACCTCGCATTATTGGTGTATGTTTGCCATCAGCATTTTTAGTGTATATTTTTAAACCATTGTTATCCGAATGGAGTTCCCATCCACTCAACGACTTTGCTTGTGATTTGAAACTCTTCATTGCTGCACGTAATGTCTTGGAATGACGATGTGGATTTTTATTCTTTTCAGGAATTTTAGCATCTATGCTTTTTGAAAATGTGATACTTGGAGTTTGATTTGCGATTGGTGTTCGAGGTATAATTGGTGTCGAAGTAGCTGGGGTTGAAGTAATGAGAATTGATTTTGAGTGAATTTCAGGTATAATGTTATTGGCATGATTGGAACTTGTGGTGTTATTATTATCATCATCATTAATAATATCGTTAGTGTTATTAATATCGTTCTCGTTAATACTATCATTTCCGTTATTAATACTATCATTTCCGTTATTAATACTATTACCAATATCATTAATATTGCCTAAATTACCATTACTACTATTATATTGTTCGCTAATTTTTTTATATTCTCTGTCATCTTCTTTATGGATGTAACTTGTAGGTCTATTATATATATATATATTAATACCAAAATTATAATGTTATGATTTTTCTTTCCGAAAAAAAAAAATTTGTACTTACGGTAAATCGTTATTAATGTTTGACGACATACTTGGAGCATGAGAATGAGATTGTGAGGGCTCAACATTACTACTTGGGGCATTGATGAACATAGTTGGGGGGCCATTTTTTCTTAGATAAGTTTCAATGGTATGGATGACCAAAGGACGTCGAGACAAATATTTTTTAGCAAGAACTGATGGAATCCAACCTTTGACATTGGTTTGAAGAATATAATTAACTTTTGTGACTGGAGGATTGTATGATAATGGTTCCAGAATCCAACCGTTAAGAAGAAGACGAGCACGTATTCTGTTTGCGATGTGGGGTATTTTTGGAGTGTTGACCGATGTTGATACAAAATAAATTTTCCCTTCATATGCGCACTCTATCTTTTCCACAAGTGATAAATCTCTAGTTTTTGATCCGGCCAATGCTTGAATTACCATGTAGGTTAAACTGGTAGTTTCATTCAAATTCGCTACCAAACTTCCTTCCTCGTACCAATCATCCCACAACTTTCTCGTTCCAATAACAGCAAAAATAGATTGTGGAGTAAATCCTTTGATAATGTGTTCACCTCTGAAAATAGGCACTTTGTCATCTTTTGACATATCACTTTTCGCGTAAACCGCCATCCCGCTCTTGTGTGTTAAAAGTTTTTGCCATCCTGGTTGATCAACCACCAATTTCAATTTAGCTAAAGCATCTTCTGCTTTTTTGATATGATAGGAGGTAGTTGATCTGTTTAAATCGAGTGATGAAGCAGTTGGGGAATTGCTATTATTTTCTTCATTATCGTCAAAATGCATAAATTCTTCTTCGTTATAATCCTTTTCATAAAAAAGGTCTTCACTAGATGGCTGTTTATAAAGGTGTTTATAATCCATATTATTGTTTGAATTAGACGACTTATTAGACCTAATAGAATTATTAGAAGTACTGGTGTTAAATTTAGAATGAGTATTGGTTATAGCTGTGAAATTTGCCGTATTAGGTGTAGTTTTAGTTGCAGTTGTTTCTGCCATTTTTCTAAATTATCTATTAAAATGTTTAAATTTTGAATTTTAAAAATTGTTTTAAAAAAAATTTTTTAATAAAGGGGGAAGTTATCAAATATGATTGATTATTAATTAATTAATATCAATATCATATAATCAATATAATGATATATAGTAATGTTTTAAAGGAGGGAATGTTTTTTTGATAGTGTAAAGATGTTTTAATTGAAAAAAAATTTTTTTTTTATATTTTTATAATTTCGTTCGGCCATGAGTGTACATTTTTTGTTTTACAATATCGGTTAACAGATATATAATAAATAGTTTTCATGTGAAAATCTAATTTAATTAATTTCACATATGGGGGGGCCTTTTCAATAGAGTGAATTGGGTTTCCCGGACCATTTTTCACGTCCTGCATGTAAAATTTTGATTAACTGAAGTTTATACATGTATGTATGTAAATTGGTCACGTCCATGCACTAATACAACTCCTAACTAGTAAATGCAGATGATTTTTCACCATCGTTCTAAAAAAAGTAAAGCTACGGATACTAGAGATCATCAATTATTCCCTTCCCCCCGCATTATTAGCGATCACATGTGATAGCACAATTAATTTTAGTAAGCAGTTTCTTATCTGTTTCCTGCGTGAAGAGAATTTGGGGGTGTGAATTAATGTAACAAAATCGTATGCTGTTCATACAGTTATTGAGCACCCGAAACAGTGAGCCTTATTATATTCTTCATTTTGTATCAAAGCGCTGATTGTATGTTTAATATGATTATGACGAAGCTTGGGGATAGCCCCACAAAAGAAATGTATAAATTTAGGATTTGGGAAAATTCCACCATTATATAATACTGTGAAAATTATATAATATAACCCTTATTACATACAAGAAAATTTCATCCAAGGTTCGTTGTTCTATAATCAGCCAATTAAAAAGGAATTCTTCACCAAACACCCCATATTTCATTGGTTAATTTCAAATTTCAAATTTCAATTTCACTCATATTTTTATATATAACAATAAAAAAAAAATGATAATATATCTTCAATTTATATTACTATTTCCAATGTTATTTTCTAATTTTGTCGATGCATACAGATACTTATCCATTGAATCATTCTCCCTATTTATTAATACATATAAATCTGAAGAACAACAATCATTTATAGATACTTATTTGAAACCAATTTTAATACCAAGAGTTTCTGGCACAGAAAACAGTCAAAAAGTTCAAAATTTTATTATTAAAAATTTTAATAAACTTGGTTGGGAAGTTGAACAAGATAAATTTAAGGATCAAACACCATATGGTAAAATAGAATTCAATAATATCATTGTAACAAAAAATCCAAATGCTTCAAAAAGATTGGTATTGGCTGCTCATTATGATTCAAAACTTATTATGGAGAAGACACCAGGTGATGATAGGAAATATGTTGGTGCAACAGATTCAGCTTTGTCATGTGCTATTTTAATGCATCTAGCTAATAAATTAGATCCATTTTTAATGAAAAAAAATGACAATAAAACTACACTTCAATTGATTTTTTTTGATGGTGAAGAAGCATTTGTAAACTGGTCTGCAACTGATTCTTTATATGGATCAAGGTATAATAAATAAATTTTTCTAAAAAAAAAATTTTTATTCAACATTTATAAATAACATTCACATACACATATTATTAATATATATTAAAAAGACACTTGGCAGAAAAATGGGAAAATACATATACCAAAAATCAAAAAACAATGTTAGATGGTATTGAAGTATTAGTATTACTTGATTTATTAGGTGCAAAAGAACTAAGTTTGGTGAATTTTTATCCAAAAACTTCATGGATGTTTAAAGAAATGGCAAAAATTGAAAGACAATTACGGAATTTAAAATTACTTAAAACATCCAATACTGCTACAAACAACAATAAAATGATTTTTGATGAATATTCAATATACACCTTTAGAGCACATATTGATGATGATCATATACCTTTTTTAAAAAGGAATGTACCAATATTACATTTGATTTCTTATCCATTTCCTGATGTGTGGCATACTTTAGATGTAGGTAGTTTTTATTTTTATTTTTGGTTTTATTTTGGTTATAATTTTTTACTTGATTATTTATTATATATACATTCATTCATATAGGATGATTTTTCAGCAATTGATCTAAATACTGTGCATGACCTGAATTTGATTTTCAGACTATTTGTAGCACAATATTTAGATATAGATCCATCATCATCTGTAATAAAAACTCATCAAGAGTTATAAATTTAAAAATTAATATGTTTTGTTCTTACTCAATGATCACAATTTTCTTTTGTGAAATTATCAAAAACCAGACAATGTGAACATGACATCTCAAGATTCACTCACTTTAACAAATACAGATTTGCACAATTATTCAATCCTTGAAATATTTAATTCTTTTTTATAACTAAAATTCTTTTTTTATGCTTCTATTCAATAGATTTTCCTTTATTTGTTTATTTATCAATAATCATCCGTTTTTTTGTGACTTGGGAGTATCCTTAAGCTGTATTTTATACATAATTTTTTTGATTGAACATTTACTTGTATTCTTTATAGTTTAAGAACATCTACCTGTAATAATAAGATACAAATGCCCTAAATGACATTCACAAAACATTTATTATTTTGTTACCTGGAAATGTTATCTTCAGAAAATTGTTCCATGTCATCAAATGTTGTAGGAATTTGATCATTCATATAAATATATATATGGAAATGTACTGTATACAAATATACCCATCAAACCCTTTTACTAATTAGTTTTATTATGGCACTTACTTATGCGTTGTACTGTGTACATCCTTATGATGTTGCAGGGAACTTTTTCTGACAGTTTTATTTACAATGCTCATTTGCATTCCTAGCAGGTTTTATATTATCATCTAGTCCTTTAGTGGTTGATGCTTTCCTTCCTTTGGAAAACCCAATTAACATAATAACAAATTCATTATTTTTATTTATTTAGGAACTTTTATCAAACCATCAAACTTGCGAGATTTGATAAATATATTGATTTAATGCTGTACCACATACATACAAGAACACCTTGATGCATTTGAAATAGCCTATTAAAAATATATATGATTGTATCAACAGAGTATGTCCTTTCAAGATTCAATGCTTTTGATTCTATATTAGTTGGAGCCTCCAACCTTACAGAACTATTGATTAGCAATTATTAGCAACTTTTGCGAAAAATATAATCTCGCACACAAATAACTTACTAATGTTTAATTGGACATGAATCAAATTGATCTTCAAAAAATGATTTTATGAACCATTACGTGATTGAGTACATAATTTTTCAAACTCAGAAGAATCTCTTTATTTAATATTTTTTTTCATATAATCGATCTGTTCTTTCTTCAGCTTTTGTTGTATCTGTTCCTTAACAATTTTCATGTCAATTATTCCATTTGAAAAAACCCAAATCCACATATGTTTTTCTCATCCTAGTATCTTCAATTTTATAATCATAGAATGTTTCAACTAAATAAATCTCTAATTGATATCTCATTCATCATCAGTCAAATTTTTTAGTTCCTGAAAGAAAGAAGAGCAATTATATTTATTACCTCAAACAGCACAAGGTCCATTACTACTATACGTTGATTATCATCATCTAAATACTCATATTCAAATTCTCTGCTATCGGCTCTCCTATCACAATAGGAGAAATGGTAATTCAGAAAATTTCAATTTATTATAATGAATATAACTTGCAGATCTTGGTTGTTGTTGTTATTATCACCAAATTTATGTTGTCTTTTAATATTAGTTATTGGAGTTATGATAGTGTGAATCTCTTTTTTCTCATGGTTTTTATTTAATGCATGTAAAGCAATCCAACTATTTAAAACATTAAAATCAAGTCCTTACAAAATGTAAAAATACAAATGATGATTCGCTAACCTTGACAGACAGATTCGATTATTAAAAGTTATGATGATGATTTTCATCCTCAAATAAAAAAAATTATGTTAATATTAATATGCTTTAAAACTAAATTAGGTTAAAGATATTAACACCAGAGCCTAACCACCAGTGAGGCAGATCCCCAGCGGCAACATGGTAATATATAAATTAAAATGGATCAATTTTCAATATTTACACACCCCAAGGAAGGCAGACTCTGCTATCACAAACAAAGCGGACTAAGCCTGTTTACTCAGGGTTTTACACTCGACCCCTCTCAAAATTAACACAATTTAAATCATCTGACGAAATTATTTTTTCAAGTGCTGTCTTATAATTAAAATGTTCAACAGCCCTATCACCTGTGAAGCTATCTGCATCTTTTCTAAATTTCAAAATTAGTGACCAATCAATATGTTCTTTGAAGTAAGCTTCTATTTGTGAACTGCTGGAGAAATTACTTGTATATATTTCGCGTAAAAAGAACAAATTTGTTATCAATTTATGAAAATAAGACATGTTAATTCATTTATAAACAGAACGCATTATTCAAAGTAAAGCTTTTGATAAATTTGATTTGTTGATCAGCATTAAGTTTTCCAATAATCGGACTTTGAATGTTATCCAGTATTAATAATAAGCTTGATCAGGCGCAAAAATTTATCCCGCAGTATAAAATCGATGCGCGTGCTAACCAAATTTGGTACTTATTTGCGTTATTTATCCAATTTGGTTAGCGTCTCACATCTCAAACTTCGATAAGCCGAACCACTGCAAACCAATTTTCGCTTTATAACGATATAAAATTGGTTAACCAAAAACATAATTAATAAAATTATCTTGTTTATAATATAATATTATAATTGTGAATCATCCATCATAAACCGAATTTTGATAAGTCGATCCCATTTTGTGATTCGGCTTATCGTAATAAAAATATGGATTTTTTAAAAAAAAATTTTTTCTAAAAAATGAAATCACAATTTGTCGAGGCGCAGTCGAGTTCTATTTATATAAAAAATCATCAGAATACTTGTCAAATCAAATAATAATAAATAATAATGTCGGACACAGAAGAAGTTGTCAATCAAAAAACTCAAGAGGAAGAGGAAGAAAATACTGAAGAAGTAATTGATAATTTAAAAGTTTATCTATTATATATAATAAAAATAGGTTATATCGAAAAGAAGTCATTTATCATGTAAAATAAATATATTTTTCTAGTTTACATTTGACCACACTTTAAAAAAGAAAAAAACAAACAAATCAAAAGTAACATTTAAAGACGATGAACAAAATGACGAAGAGAAAGAGAAAAATCTAGAAAATAAAAAAGGTTCGTTTCTTGATAATTGTAATGTATTATGATCTTTGATTATTTTTAAATTTATGATATAAGACAATATTTATATTGATATATACAGAGCAAGTTGGGACCGAGGATAAAATTGATGATGATGATGATGAAGCAGCAATATTTGATAATATGAAGAAAAAGAAAAAAAAGAAAACTGTTGATGTAAATAATAAATAATAGATGTAATAATTATCATATAATAATAGTAATAATAATGAATTCCATTCTTTTTTTTTCTCTCCTGAACATTATAAAATATGTTGCATGTATATTTATTAGAAAGATAAAGCTGAAGAGGTTGTCGTAGATGGTGGTGAAGTTGGTGATTTATCATCTACTAAAAAGAAAAGAAAGAAGAAGACAGCAGATCTGGCAGATTTTGAAAAACAATTAAAAGAGGATGATGATGAAAAGTCAGACGAAGATATATTTGCACAAGAAGCTGAACAAAATGAAACAGAAGTAAAAGAAATTAAAGAAGAATGGCACGATTCAAATCGTGATTATACATATCAAGAAGTAAACTGATAAAGTTTAATTTTTTTTAGAAAGAAACAATGATATAATTCATTCTATTATTAATCTTTGTTGATGACTGAAATAATTCTTTACTTGAATAATTAGCTCTTAAGAAGAGTGTTCCAAATACTTCGTCAAAATAATCCTGAACTTGCAGGCGAAAAGAAAAGATACACAATTGTTCCTCCATCAGTACATCGTGATGGAAATAAAAAAACAATATTTGCCAATGTTTCTGATATTTGTAAAAGGTTTCTGTTTGTTCTTTATTCTTTTAGGAATTTGAAGAAATTTATTAGAATAACAATTAACAATTCATTATTATTATTATTAATCAGGATGCATAGACAACCTGAACATGTTATTCAATTTTTGTTTGCTGAATTGGGAACAAGTGGATCGATTGATGGAATGCAAAGACTTGTAATTAAAGGGCGCTTTCAACAAAAACAAATTGAAAATGTTTTACGCCGATATATTGGTACTATTTTATATATTAAAATTACTGTTATGTTTTAATATATTATTTATTCTTATTAGATCAAATACTTATGTATATATATTTATTTATTTATTAATTTATTCTTAAAAGTTGAATATGTTACATGTAAAACATGTAAATCACCAGATACGATCCTTACAAAAGAAAATCGTATTTTCTTTCAACAATGTGAAAGTTGTGGATCTACTAGATCAGTTTCTGCAATTAAAACCGGTAATTTTATTTATATTATTCTTAAAACATTTGACATATATATAATAATATACATATATAATATATATTATGTATTTTTCACCCTATAATAAATAACAGGTTTCAAGGCACAAACAGAAAAAAGAGCAGCTCAAAGAAGAGCAGTACAATAAAATTAAAAAAAAAGTTTTTTTTGGTCAAGGATTATTATCATTATCATTATCATTATCACTATTATTTCTGTTCTATCATAATAAAATTTTAGTATATTATTTTCATCTTTTCATTGATTTCAAAATAATTTGTTCCACTATCTCTATAATTTCATTTGATCATTAAATAAAATTAATTATTTAGGTTTTATTTTTTTTTGCTCAAATAATTGTGCGCGTATATTATTGTTACTATTGTTGTTGATCATTATCATCATCTTCTTCCCTCATCTTTGCCGCCTCCACAATTAGTGCACTGTAACAGAATTCAGAATATTACAGTCAAAAAGAGAACACCAATTTCGAATAAAATGTAGGATAATGACGAATCAAAATTATGACATAGAGTTAGTCTTTGATCACATACACAAATGTGATTCATTTATTATTATTATCAAAATAGTTTGATTGGCAAATATAATAAAATGAGAGATATTGAGTTAAATTGATCAGTTAATGGGAAAAATTCTTGAATTCAAATAAATGTGTATGTAATATTTCGAATACAACAATGAATGCAATCACTAATATTATTGCATCATTTTATAAAATCGCCAAGTCTAACAAAACAGTCTATTTGAAATTCTAACTTTCCTTTCGAGAATGTATGTTCTGATGACAGAAAAAAAATAATATTTCACGAGAAAAAATGCATGGTGATCATATCAACATTGATGTGCGGCTCATCAAGTCAACTGTTTTTTAAACTATTGAATTTCGAACTTATGTTTAAAGTTGATGTTATGATTATATAATAATATATTCTTCTTTATTCCTATACATTATGACGAATATTTTTTGTATTTGATCATTGAATCTCTACATCTTTATATCCTCTTACGTTCTCACGTTCTCGACTATATAAAGAACCTCGAGGAACAATGTGTGGTCTTCGTCACCAGATGGCCACATGAAAGTAAAATAATCAGAAATTCCTTTAATGGTACCAACTGGTACTTCTTTACTACAATCTGGCAAAATGAAGTACCAGCAAGGGTCAATATTCGGGTTTATTATTTTTAGTGATGTACGTAAAAAATTCTGTATCCTTCTTAATATGATGTATTTTTAAATACAATCTAATAGGATAAAATTTTGTTGTATTTGT